GAGCGGGCTGCGCCCGGGTCCCGCCGTGCCCACGAAGGACCACGACGCCATCAAGCTGTTCGTGGGGCAGATCCCGCGGGGCCTGGACGAGCAGGACCTCAAGCCGCTCTTCGAGGAGTTCGGCCGCATCTACGAGCTGACGGTGCTGAAGGACCGGCTCACCGGCCTCCACAAAGGTGCGCGGGGTCAGCCCAGCCCAGCCCGGCCCGGCCCGGCCTCCACCGGCCCCCACCACCGAGCCCCACGCCCAGAACCTTCTCTGTGCTAACCACGCTGCCCCTCGGCTCCCCCCGCCCGCCCCCAGCCCCGCGCCCCAGCCCTTCGCGGGCCTCGCCATCTGCTCTCCCACCGCGCACCCCAACCCTCGCGTCTGTGAACTTTCCACCTCCTCGCTCGAACCCTGAACCACGCATTCCCAGAGCCTTCTATCTGGAACTACCCCCACTCAGGCCTAGCCTCTTGTGCACACCTCCAGTTTGCACCCCATCTTCTGGCCTCCAACTTCAGTCCACCCCCTAACCCACCCAGAACCTTCCTTTGACTCAGCCGGCTTGCCTCGAAACCCTCTCAGACCCCCCAAACTCTGCTCAGCTTCAGGACCCAGACCTCATTCACAAAAATCCTCTTCGATCCACATTCCCCCCACCCCATGTTTGATGGGAACCCCCAACTCTACCCTTTTACCAGCCTTACAACCTTGGCTAGCTCTTCCTATCTGAGTCTGGAACCCCAGCCTCAGCCTAGAACTTCCACCTCCCTATGGCCCTTTTACCTTAGTTTCCCCCTCTGCCGAATCCACTTCTCTTATAATTCTCCCTCCCCAGCCTTTGACTCCTACCCCAAGGACCCTGAAGGCCTCTGACTTTCCTTCCCTTACAGAATGGGTCCCAGCTGATGGTGTTGGGGGTGGGCGGGATTTTTCTCACTGCCCTTGCTGGACAGTGAGAGGCTCCAGGGCCCTGCCCAGCCACACCTCTTTCTTTCTGTAGAGAGGGTGGAGACTTGTTTACATGCAGAAAGTCTGTCCAGGCTGGGCTGGAGTAACCATGCCGGAGTCATAGGATAGTATGAAGAGAAACACTTGTATCTTCCCCCCAAGTCACCCACTTGCCATGGTTTGGGGGGGGGGCTTGGGCAGGGAAAAGTGGCTATAACTTGCATCCACGATCTTCCTGAGAGAGAGAGGAGTGTCAGGCTTTGGGTGTCATTCCTGAGGGCTAGTATCACCTCTTCATCTGGGACAGGGCTCAGGGAAAATGCCCATAGAAGGGGCTGGGATCATCTAGATAGGGGTGTGTCTTCCATCCCTTGGGGTGGGGCCATGTCAAAGGGCCATGAAATGAACACGATCACACCATTCCAATTCCTTATCATTCCATCCAACTGTCTTTCTGTCCATCTACTTATAGTAACTTTTTGTATGTTCTAGACATTAATTTTTAGTGTGCGTGTAGAAAGCTAATTTTATTGGCTATCTATACAATAAAGCAAGTGTATAGAATGCTTCTAATTCTACACTTTACAAGTGAGCTGCTGTCAGTTTCTGAACCGTTCCTTCATCCATGCTTTCTCCTCAGTTTAGCTCTGATTCTTCCTAGTTTTTTTTAAAAATTATTATTATTTGTTGATCCTTCCAACCATGATTCTCTGGATCCTTCCATTCTCCTACACCCTGCCTCCACGTAGGCTCCTTTACATAGCAACAAGGTTCCTGACCCTTCCCAAAGCTCCTCCCCTCCCCACTCCCTGGTTCTGACATCAGATGACATGATTCGGTGGCAGAAGATGCAGCTGTGATGTAAGCGGCATCAGGTGTTTGGTGATTTATTCCCAAACCAACCTACACCTTCCCAAGGAACATGTTTCCTTGTAAGGGGATTGGGGGGGCCTTCAAGTCAACATACTCCACCCTCTCCCCAGAAACAGTGATGTCTAGAAGCGAGAGTGACTCATCTTCCTTCTGATGGCTGGGTACCCAGGGAGGCAGCCACGGGGCTCCGAAAACAAGCCAGATTTTGGAGTTAGAAAGTTCCAAACCTGGCTCTGACCCTGTCACCTCTTGGCCTCAGTTTCTCCCATGGAAATAATCAGGGTTTAGCCAGGAGTTCTTTTAAAGGGTCCATTTTATTTAATAACCCATTCATCTTAAGGCAGCAGCCTGATAGAAGGCACCAGAAAAAAAATGGACATTTTGCTTTTCTGTGCTGAGGTCTAAATGGAAAATGACAATAAGTTTCTAATGGCTTCCCACATACCATTTCTCTTCCTTTGGCCCTCCTTCCTAGCCTCAAGAAGCTCTTTTATTTTTTTTTGAAAATACAGATCTCACCATGTCACAACCCTACTGAAAATCCTTGAGTGCCTTTCCTATGCTCTTAGAAAAAGTTCAGACAGAGGCTCACAAGGCTTTATATGACCTGAAGCCCGCACCGGCTATTCTGCCCCATTTACCACCTCCACCCACACTAGCAGAAGGTCCATTTCCTGACACAGTAACTTCATCACCCAGTCTCTATTCATACTACTCCCTGTGCCTGAGACAGCCCCCATCCTTCCTGTCACCTGCTTCTAGAAGACTCCATATTCTTCTTGAGGACTCAGTATTTTCCTTGAGAAATCACCAGTCCTTTGGACTCAGGTGCTGTGCTCTTCATGCTTTCTTGCTTGATCTTGTTGCTTCTCTCTTCCAACTCTCATCATAATTTCCAACTAGAGGCCAGGTCCTGGTGACTCACACCTGTAATCCCAGTTACTCAAGAGGCTGAGATGTGAGAATTGGATTTTAAAGCCAGTTGGGCAGGAAAGTCTATGAGACTCTTATCTCAAATTAACCAGTAAAAAAACCAGACATAGAGCTACGACTCAGTGGTAGATGTCAGCCTTGAGCTGAAAAACTAAGGGACTGAGTCCAGACCCTGAAATTAAGTCCCAAGACTGGCACAAAATAATTCCCCAGAATAATAAGTATTCTAGGCTGGGAATATGGCTTAGTGGTAGAGTACTTGCTAGGCATGCATGAAGTCCTGGGTTTCATTCCTCAGTACCACACACACAGAAAAAGCCAGACATGGTGCTATCACTCATGTGGTAGAGTGTTAGCCTTGAGCAAAAGAAGCTCAGAGACAGTGACCAGGCCCTGAGTTCAAGCCCCATGACTGGCAAAAAAAAGAAAAAAGAAAAAGTATTCTAAAATTTCCAAGTGAACATGTGTGCTATAAGTTTTTGGGAAGGAAGATTTCTATCAGCCTACTGATTCTGAAATCTAATAAAGAGAAGGAGGAGGCCGGGCGCTGGTGGCTCATGTCTGTAATCCTAGCTACTCAGGAGGCTGAGATCTGAGAATCGAAGTTAGACACAGTTGGAAATCAGCATGAGCAGACAAATCTAGTAGATTCTGTGTGTGTGTGTGTGTGTGTGTGTGTATGTGTTGGTCATGGGGTTTGAATTCTGGGCCTGGGCGCTGTCTCTCAGCTCTTCACCTCAAGGCTAGTGCTCTACTACTTGAGACACAGTGCCACTTCCGGTATTTATGAATCGATTGCGACTTGTAGATATTTATTTATTCCTTTATTTAGTTTTGCCAATCGGTCCTGGGGTTGAACTTCAGGATCTGGGCACTGTTCCTGAGCTTCTTTTTGCTTAAGGCTAGCACTCTACCCCTTGAGCCACAGAGCCACTTCTGGCTTTTTCTGTGTATGTGGTACTGAGGAATCGAACCCAGGGCTTCATGTATGCTAGGCAAGCATTCTACCACTAAGCTACCTTCGCAGCTCACTTGCAGGTGTTTAGATGCACGGCTTCTCAATTTCCGTGTTTTGCCCTCGCCCTCCACAAGTGAGGGGCGGGTTGGGTCCCGAGCTCCCTGGCCCTCAGCAGCCCAGCTTCCTTTCTGATGATGACCTAGACCTGAACCCACAGCTCTGTGATGAAGCAGGGCCCCTGTGCATGCGGGGCGCCGAGTAAATACGGTTAATGGGAGTTCCCTCACTTCTCCCGCGAAACAAGGGGAACGTCGGGGCAGTGGGGTGCTGCTTCTCTCCAGGATCCAGGGGTGAGAAAGCAGCTGAAGACACCTGAAGGATGCGGGATGGGAGGCGCGGATGGAGGGGAGGGATCCTCATGCACGGCTCCCCCTTGCAGAAAACGCTCCCGCTCTGGGCAGTGCGCGTGAGCTGGGGTCGAGCTCGAGCTCCGCCGACAGCGCCACGCAGGTCGACGCGGCCCGAGGCGCACACGCGCGCGGGCCCGCGGCCACACCCGCACACACTCCACGCAAGCTGAGCATCCCCGGCTGCGGTTGCCATGGTGAGCCCGGAGCGCGTGAGCCCCGCCGCCCCGCCCTCGGCCCCGCCCCTGATCCCACCCCTTCGGCCGAGCGCGGACAACTCCCACTCTGATTGGCCACCGCTCCTTCATTATGCAAATCGCTTGCGTAGCCTCGGCGGCCAGCTGTCTGACGTCACCGGGCACGGGGGCGGGGGCGCGGGGCTGGGCCGGGCGAGCTCGGGCGGGAGCCCCGGG